AGTACCTTTATGGATCTTGAGAGTTTGGGTTGCGTTGCTGTGAATGGAGCCATCGGATTTGATCAAAAATATCTTAATTTGTGTTCTGAAGATGAACGAAGATCTTAGGGGTGTGGAACGACATGAGGGTGAGTAATGACAGAATTTTCATTTTTGGCTGAACTAACCCTTTAATACAAGTAATAATTTCGTTCTGAAAAGTCTTACTGATGTCAAACTTTAGAACAGTGATGTAAATAAATGTGACTTGAGTTGAATTTTTAGTTTTTCTATTTCTTAGTGTGATCTTATCTACACCTTCTTCCACCCTATTGCGAGAGATGACAAGACCGAGGGGGTTGAAGGACTCTCAAAAACTCTAGGTATGTGTGTCATATTTAAAATGTTTACATTTTTCATTGAAAAATGATTCAGATCATTTATTGTACATGCTAAGGTTCTTTTTTTAAGAAAATCTCATGTATACTGTCATCTGCTTAGAGTTTTGTGTATTTCAGAACTTGTGTTTTTTCAAGATTAGAGTTTAACGCACCACATTATCCCGATTGTTTTCATATATTTGATGGCAGATATTCCTCCAGTGAGTCCCACCACTGGCCGCGTGGAGGGTGAGGTGAAGCTGTCAGTGTCCTACAGAAACAGCACGCTCTTCATCATGGTCATGCACATTAAAGACCTGGTAAGAAATAAGAATAGCACCTGTCTTCAAACCCCAGTTTCTGTTCATTCCAAAATCTCATCCGTTTTGTTCTCCCAAACACAGATGTCAAATGACGGAGCAGACCCAAACCCTTATGTGAAAACATACCTTCTCCCAGACCCCCACAAAACCTCCAAACGCAAAACAAAGATCGCGAGGAAAACTAGGAACCCGACATTTAATGAAATGGTAACCAAAACCTACCTATTTAACCATGCATGATTAGTTCTGCTTTATTCTAAAGCTAATAAACAACTTCCTTCTTACTTGGTTCATAGCTGGTGTACAGCGGCTACAGTAAGGAAACCCTGAAGCAAAGGGAGCTTCAACTGAGCGTGCTCAGTGCAGAGTCTCTGCGAGAGAACTGCTGTTTGGGTGGCATCACCCTCAGCCTTAAAGACTTTGACCTGAGCAGAGAGACTGTCAAGTGGTACAAGCTCACCACAGTGCCCTACTTTTAGATCCAACGATTCCTGCCCACCAGTCTTCCACGAAAGGTGATGTGACTGCAGCAAGTGCCCTTCAAATTCCCCCAGCATCCCTCTCTCTCTCTCTCTCTCTCTATGACACTAATCAAGGTCGAGTCCTTGTTGAAAGAATCAATCCACCTAACTTTATGTCTGAAATCAACATACGTGTTCTGTACATTTGGAACTTGGACCAAACTGCTCACTTAAAGAAGAGTTTATATTATATAAGAATATATATAGAGAGATTGACACATGTATTTTTTAAAACTGCTCATTTTTACACTTTCCTTTTCTACATATGCAAGTAAGAAGCATTAAAAGTCTGTAAGGTTTTGAGCTATCAAAACAAGCACAGTAGAGTTCACTGTGCTTTTGATAACGTGCCAACTGAACAAACTCGCAACCACTTCCCTTTAGGGAACGATAACAGGGTGCCTTCACACGCTCTCCTTTCATTTTCGCTCTTCTCAGTACATTCGTGGTTTAAAAAGGCCCTGTTTTGTAAGATAATGTAGTATGTACTTCCCATGGAGTGATCAGAGTTGGTCAAGCTGTTTTTTAATGGCACCAATGAATTTGTATAATGAACCCTCTTTAAAAAGGGAACGGCACCGGTGGCTTAAAGCTACTGCCAGAACTCAGCTGAATCGTAATCTATGAGTTTACCAGGCATTTAAAAAAAAAAAAAGATGTACAAGATTGTCATCACTCACTCTGAAAATAGTGACTTGATTCGCTGTTTTATGACTGTTGAAAATACATTTTGAATGGATATTAACATGGCCAGTTATTTATTGGTTATCTTAACCTGACAGAATCAATGTTTGCTGTAATTCTGTCTCTATTAAGGAAAATTAAATGTTTTTGAACACCTCTCTGTATACTTTGTTCTGAGGTTTCTTTAATGGATAGAAATATACTTGAACCAGTAGGGGGCAGGCAAGAAACACACAACTATTGAATATTATAATTTGCAAGTATTTTCATAAAGAAGTGATCTCTTTTTTTCATTAACTTGTATAGTTGTATCCAGTTTTCCTCTTGCACTTTCATACTTTCATATTTGGTTGAAACCATTTGCATTCTGTTATACAGAGTTATTTTTATTTTATTATTATATTATTATAAGTAGGTTTAATAGTCTTACCATTGATGAAGACAAGTTAATTTTATGCTGTGATTTCCAGTGTTATTTTAGTATTATCTATATACTATTATAGTAATTATTCATATTTTTGAATTGGTTTTTTAAATTTTCGAATGTTTTTAAGTTTTAAGTAATTTTGTTATGTGCTTTTGTCATTTTTATTTTTATTAATTATATTTTAAAATTTTTAAAATTCAGTTTTAGTAATTTACGCACTTCAGCTTAAAATTATTTTTAGTTTGTTGCCAAAGAAACATTTCTAATTTTTGTTAACTTTAGGTTTTTCTTCTGATACTTTAATTTAATTTTATTTTATTTCAGCTTAATTTAAATTAATGATTAAAATTATTTTAATAGTTTTAGATAACAATAACAATACTGGTGATTTGTGGCTAAAGCTGCCATTTGAATATGTGCAAGTAGGCCTGTCACGATAACAACTTTTTGTTGTGCGATATATTGCCTCAGAAATAACTGCGATAAGCGATATTATTGTCATTTTAAAGACCATTTTATGCCACTGAATATATAATCATAATGTAACCGCATAATAATGCAAGAAGGCCTACACACTTCCAAATGACAACAAACTTTTAATTTTTAAGAATATTTAGATCATGGAAATTAAGTATCAAAATATTAGATACCTTAAAAAACCTGAATAAATAGTAAATAAAAATTTTCTAACAAAAAGTGCAAAGCAACAAGTAGAAAAAAAGAAAAGTGCACAAAGAACTTGTATGGAGATTTGTCCATCTACAGATTTTTCCTTCTTTTCTCTGTAAATTAAGGGTGCACACTATTGCTGAAAAACACAATCACTACTTAGCAGTCAGATGTCCGTATGCACAAAGGCACAGATCCCTAAACAAGACCATATCTGCAGATGAAACTTTGTTTGTAGAAGCATTTTTTTTATTTGGACTAGCACCTCATGACTACACCACGTTATGTACGAGAAGCTGCAGAAGACACAGGCGCAAGTGGAATGTACAAAACATGGTGACATTAATTTTTAAGTAAATATATTGGGCGATATATTGCGTCACCAAAAATTATTGAGGTCATGTACATATATTGCGCGATAAGTCGATATATTGATTATTGCGACAGGCCTATGTGCAAGAACACATCTTAAAGGGATAGTTCACCCAAAAAAGAAAATTCTTTCATCATTTACCCATGTTGAGTAACTATGGAGATTGTGTTGTTCCAAACCTGTATGATTTAGAAGTAAATGGTAACCAAAACGGTTTAGTTCCCATTCCCAACATTCTTCAAAATACAAATCTTCTTTTGTGTTCCACAGAAGTAAAGTCATAAGTTTAAAATGATATGAGGATGAGTAAATGTTGATGGATTTTTCATTTTGTGGTGGACTATGCCTTTAAAGCTTTGACCCTCACACACTAATGATTTCTGCTGAGGTGTTTGTGTGAACCTTAGGGACTCTTGTGGTGTGGCCCAGGTGCGCTTTGTCATTGGCAGTAAAATTATAAAGGTTTAAAAGGCCTGACCTCAGATCTGCCAGCGTTATACCACCTCATTAAACAGGCTGTTGTTGTGAGAAAGCATCTGGAGAGGGAGAGAAAGAGAAAAGCAGTCAGGTCAGTGCACACATTTGCTTCGTCTCCAGAGCGAGGGCTTACTGATGAAGAAGTATGCATGATTTGACACTAGGTTTTGCTCCTTGACAGTCACACAGGGCTGCTGTAGATGTACATGTTGTATTTTTGGGGATAGAAAAACAGTGCAAAGGGATAGAGATAATGAATTCCATCTGCTTCCAGTCAAATAATACATTGGTAGATTAAAATCATACATATGATTTGTATTTGACTGTATTTGACTTGACTTTGCGACCTGTAATGTAATTGTCACAAAATACATATATTTGCTTTGTCACAAATATTTGTACCACAGTAATGCACAGGAAAATGAATGAAAACACTAACTTAAGTTTCAATTTTAAATATTATGCCTAATAGTAAATTAGGTACATTTGTAATCTATGGAACAGTTTTATTTAGTGTAATGGGTTGCACTTCTTGTTACAGATTAAATTAATGTATGACCATCTGACATATTATACTGGAAGTTATATCTCTTGTAATTTTCTAGTGTTTTTTTCAGTAACGTTAGTAGAGCATTGCTCAAAAACAATAGTGTAATGTACAGTATGATGCAACAAGCAGTAACAAGGTTTGAAATTTGCCTCAGCAACAATTAGCAAGTTTAATGAGGCTTTAGTTGCCATCTGAAATCCGATGTAAGTTATTTTTAATGCATAATTCATTTTTTACAGTTATTCAATACAAAAATATAAAGTTCCATCTTGGTTGAGAGCAGAATTCACTGCTTGGATTCAGTCTCGACGTGTCGAGTGCAAAAAACTAATTTTTCCTTCGTTCAATCATTACTTTATCATTAAAATAAATAAATGAATAATTAAGTGTCTAAAATATAAAATTGCTTGCCGTAATTGCGTGATGTAATAGCAGCAATATGTAAACCTGTTGCTTCATGATATTTCACAAGGGACAACAAACCGTGCATCACTGGGCTACGCATCGTGTGGGCGTGGTTTGCTGCGAAAGAGGGCGGTGCCAATATGAGTGACACAGAAACGATCAAATCAAAGGTCGCACGGTTGCAGGGCTGGAGATATTTGTTTATAGTGGAGCGCTTTCATAAGTTGGAGTCGTTTGTCACAGGCGCGCGTTCATTCGGAGGTGCTGTGAACGGGACTTGGTGATCATGTGGACCTCAGCAGCTTTCGCTCGGAGTTAACGCTCACATATCTGGGAAGATGTGGTCAGCAAACTTCAAACATCAGCCGATAAATTACTACAGAGAAAACAAACCAAGGGACGAATATCAGAATACGTGACAGCGTGTTGTTTGAGGATGGAAGGGAACGGATCGGAGCGGACCGCGCTGCGGCGATTCGGGGACAGCGGCATGATGCTTCTGCCCTGGACTAAACAGATCCTGACGGTGGTGTGGGAACACTTGCGACTGCTGGTCCAGGTCATCTGCTGCACTTTAATGACGGGTAAGTCTGCTTTTACTGATTCATATATTTGCATTGAAATGTTTTGCTATCCTTATGCTTTGCCATTGCGGGATTACATAATTATATTTACAGTATAGATGCACTTATCTATAATAATGATGTAGATCGCTGTATAAATATATTATTCTTATAGCATAAAAGTGCAAACTGCGTAAAAATTGTAAAATGAAAAAGTGCATCAAAGTGCTGTTGATCAGTTCGGTTGCATTTGTACGCTTGATACAACATTTTCATATTTATTCATTTACATTCATTCAGCTTTTATCCAAAACGACTTAAATAATTATTTTAAAAAATATTTTCTTTAGAGGAGAGTGACAAAAATGTATAAACAAAACATTAATGCAATACTGAATTTTAGTAAAACCAAATAACTCAAATTTTCTAGAGCAAAGGTGAAGTTGCAGGGTTTTTGTTTATTATAATAAAATTGATTATTTTGTATTTATTTTATTTTACCTGGATAATATATGCATATTATATTTATACTATTATTTTTATTATTAATATTTAATTTTATTATTTAATTATGTATTTATTAATTAAACATCTTTATTATTATTATTATTATTATTATACACACATACATACATATTATTATTATTATTAGTAGTAGTAGTAGTAGTAGTAGTAGTAGTATTTACTTCATGACTAGTAGTAGTAGTAGTAGTAGTAGTAGTATTTACTTCATGACATTTATTTTAAATGAGAAGGGACAAAAACTTTGCATAAAATATGGATAATATGGATTGTTTTTTTTCTATCAGTATTTTAACATTTTATTATTGATTAAAAACGTATCATTCATTCATTTATCCATCCATCCATCCAGTAACTCTTTGTTTGGTCCCCAGTTTTCCAGATGTTCAGGTTTGAAGTCCATCTGAGAATTACAGACGAGACAGGGCAACACGTTCAGCACATGACAAGTGGGTCAGGAGACCATTCTGACAGTTTCCTGCTCTCATCCTTGTTTGAAAACAACAAAAACATAGTGGTCGGGGGTTCCAATCCACTTTCGAAATTCGTCAGGGACCCATTTGATGTGAGTTCCCACTCCAGAGCTGTCCTGTCCAGTCTGGTCGGCGATGAACTCTGTTGCTCCTTAGTGGACGACCTTGTGTCCCACGCAACAGAGTGTCTCAATGACACTGAAGATCTCTATATTGGAGATCACTCCATGTGGAAACATGGATACGACTGGACCATATTAGGAGGATCCGAGAGGAAATGCGCAGAGAACACCTGCACGTTTACTGCACATGTGTCCGGGTTTTCTGCAAAGGAGTTTGTAAAGCATCAGAAGCCCATCGGTGATCCTGATTCATGTAGATCATCTACAGAGGAGGTTCAAGCTCCATGTCAAGTGCAGTCAGTCGGTCAATTCTCAGACAGCGAGTTCAGCTGGGGAAGCACAGACAGCTCTTGTTTTGAAGGAGAACGAGAGGAGAATGACAAACTGTGGGACCTTCTAACCAGCTCAACGGATCCATATCACCCTCTACACTTCAAGGCATGTTTGTCCAGTGCGGTTCCTGAAAAAAGCAAAACGCAGGTGGTTTCGAAGGCTGAAAGTCCCACTGTATCACATTCCACTGTGTCTACAGGCTCCGATTCTTCCAAACCAGGTTCTGAAGATGAAGAAGAAGAGGCCTTATGGAGGTCCCTCTCTCAGAATGATGACCCATATCATCCACTGAATTTCAGAGCCCCTCTTCAAAGCAGTATTTACTTCATGACATTTATTTTAAATGAGAAGGGACAAAAACTTTGCATAAAATATGGATAATATGGATTGTTTTTTTTCTATCAGTATTTTAACATTTTATTATTGATTAAAAACGTATCATTCATTCATTTATCCATCCATCCATCCAGTAACTCTTTGTTTGGTCCCCAGTTTTCCAGATGTTCAGGTTTGAAGTCCATCTGAGAATTACAGACGAGACAGGGCAACACGTTCAGCACATGACAAGTGGGTCAGGAGACCATTCTGACAGTTTCCTGCTCTCATCCTTGTTTGAAAACAACAAAAACATAGTGGTCGGGGGTTCCAATCCACTTTCGAAATTCGTCAGGGACCCATTTGATGTGAGTTCCCACTCCAGAGCTGTCCTGTCCAGTCTGGTCGGCGATGAACTCTGTTGCTCCTTAGTGGACGACCTTGTGTCCCACGCAACAGAGTGTCTCAATGACACTGAAGATCTCTATATTGGAGATCACTCCATGTGGAAACATGGATACGACTGGACCATATTAGGAGGATCCGAGAGGAAATGCGCAGAGAACACCTGCACGTTTACTGCACATGTGTCCGGGTTTTCTGCAAAGGAGTTTGTAAAGCATCAGAAGCCCATCGGTGATCCTGATTCATGTAGTTCATCTACAGAGGATGTTCAAGCTCCATGTCAAGTGCAGTCAGTCGGTCAGTTCTCAGACAGTGAGTTCAGCTGGGGAAGCACAGACAGCTCTTGTTTTGAAGGAGAACGAGAGGAGAATGACAAACTGTGGGACCTTCTAACCAGCTCAACGGATCCATATCACCCTCTACACTTCAAGGCATGTTTGTCCAGTGCGGTTCCTGAAAAAAGCAAAACGCAGGTGGTTTCGAAGGCTGAAAGTCCCACTGTATCACATTCCACTGTGTCTACAGGCTCCGATTCTTCCAAACCAGGTTCTGAAGATGAAGAAGAAGAGGCCTTATGGAGGTCCCTCTCTCAGAATGATGACCCATATCATCCACTGAATTTCAGAGCCCCTCTTCAAAGCTCACCAGCTACACCAATACCTTCAAAACATGATTCGCCCAGTGACAACACACAAAATAAAACCGATAGACTCTTAAAATCTTCAAGGCGCTCAAAGCCGCCGTTACCACCAAGTAAAGTTGCTCGCCATTGCTGCCACAAATTACCCGTTGAGACATTATCAGTGATGCCATGGAGAAGACATGTTGGTCTGACTGCTGTTCAGGGCAACCAGAGGAAATGTCCCACTTTTAAGAAGGTAATTATCAGTAGGTGCGGTCACTGTTGTTCAGCGAATTTTTGCTATTGGGAATTTCGATTTCTCCATATAGAATTTGCAACAGGTTCAAGTTGGTCACGCAGACTCGCCACACTGACCGTCAGAAAGCTGCTTGGTTTGAAAGTGATTTTTGCGTGAGCTGTGCTTTATACATCGCAACACTATTGACAATAGACCGTAGACCTTTTTGCCTGCAAATTTTTGCCAAAGATTCGCTAATCTGACCGCACCTTTATAGCGCTTTAGACAACATGTCAGCTGAAAGTCATTGCTTGATAACAGCATATTGCTTATATTTTCCAGGTGAAATTTTCTCGCATCGTACAAGTCCACAAGATGCAAGCTTGGTCCTTTGCTTTTCAAGCATCTCGTAAGGGACCATGGGAGGAGTTTGCACGGGACAGAGACCGTTTCCGAAAGAGAATCAATGAAACTGAGAAGGCCATTGGTTACTGTTTTAGTTTGTCACACAGGGAAAAGCTGTGGGCCTTTAAGGACAGCGTACAGAAGAAGTAACCAGCCCTTGATCTGCAAAAAGTGGTTTCCGATTGTAATTATTGATCTTATAGTTCCCTGGCCAGCTTCTAGACTGATATATTGACTTAAATTGACATTTATACCTCACTGCTGTGTCCCAACACACATTGTACCTTAACTGCTACTGAATGTTACTACTGCTGTTGCTACTGATTTTTTTGCTATGCCTGACAGATTCTTCAGTGTGACTGATCTCACACACATTTATTTTTAACACAAATTGTTGATATGTTGGAGTACTAGACTAGTGTTTTTTTTATTTAAAGAGATAGTTCACCCAAAAATGAATATTCTGCCAACATTTACCCTCATGCCATTCCACACCTGCATAATATTCTTATTTCTTTGTGAAACACAAAAGAAGACTTTTTGAAAAATGACATGGCCTTTTTTTCCTGTACAATGGAAGTCAGAGGGTTGTTGTTTTGTTCAGTGAAAATAGTTTTAAATAGTTCAGTAATAATTCTTCAAAATATCTCCTCTTGTGATTCACAAAAGAAAGAAAGTCACAGGTTTGGAATGATAGGAAGAAGGGTAAAAGATGACAATTTTCATTTTGGGGTAAATTATACCTTGTTTATTCCAATGGTTTTAAACGGCGTGAAAATAGGCTGCTATTATTATTATTATAAGTTAAAGAAAAGGCAAATAGCAAAAATGTAACAAGGTCAAGTTACAATACACCTCAATGTTTACATTTTTCTATATATAGATATATATTTGTTCAAATACACTTCCATTAATAAGTTTTACGGTCAGTAAAGATTTTTTTATGCTATTAATACATTTTTAATACTCTTAATTACTACTTTTATTCTGAAAGGACACATGAAATAAAAAGTGACAGTAAAAACATTTATATTGTTACAAAATCTTTCTATTTCTAATAAATGTTTTGTTCAAACATATCACAGTTTCTTCAAAATTATTAAGCAGCACAACCATTTTCAACTCCGATAATAATAAGAAATGTTTCTTAAACAGCAAATCAGCATATTAAAATGATTTCTAAAGGATCATGTGATACAGGATCACAGGATTTTTCTGAATATAATAAAATATAAACGTTATTTTAAATGGTAATAATATTTCACAATATTACTGTTTAACTGAATTTTGATCAAACAAATGCAGCTTTGGTGAGTATAAGAAACTTCTTTCAAAAACATTTAAAAATCTTACTGACCCCAAACTTTTGAGCAGTAGTGCATATGTTGAAAATTACATCCTACAAAACAGATGCTGTTATAAGATGTTTGCTACATTTGACTTCACTGATCATTGCAGTTTGTACTTGAATGACAGTAAGTCTTTTGCTTTCCAGAAACATTTTTTTTAATATACACTATTACTCTGCAAATGTTCCGTTATCACATCCTGCGTTTGTTGAATGTACAGTTGTTTCCTTGCACACTGTGTCCTGGCTCGTTTGTTTTGGTTCATCTTACTAGTTCATTGTGTCTCAGACTCTGAATGTAGAGGTGCAGAGCTCCTGCGAGACCGTCATGTGCAGCCCCTGTAAGAGAGGGTTAAAAACAAAGCGTGATGAAACTCTCTCCCTTGAGGAGAAATCAATTAGCATCTCCCCTCCACACATCAGCTGCAACACAAGCTTGCATGCTGCAAAGACAAGCAATCGTTTACGCAATCTTTCATGCTGTGACCGCAGACTGCAGGTCTAATTTAATGATGCTTTGTCCACGAGTTAATTAGATGGCATTCCAGACACATTTATTGATAATGTAAAGGTGGACACATGCTATTATGAAAGCGTTTAACACTTATTAGCAGTAACAAGACTGACTGGTTGTCATTTATATTTTTTTCTTGTTGAAGCAGTGCCTGTTTGAAAGCAACAGATTTGAGAGCAGTTTAAAGGAGGGTTGGTAGCTGGATGCATGCATGTGGCGCTGCTATGGTGTCTTCCTCTCCTAAGGTGCCTTCACCCAGGTGACCTTGGTCTCTAGGCAACCAAGCACAGCGGAGAAATCAATTAGCATCTCCCCTCGACACATCAGCTGCAACACAAGCTTGCATGCTGCAAAGACAAGCAATCGTTTACACAATCTTTCATGCTGTGACCGCAGACTGCAGGTCTAATTTAATGATGCTTTGTCCACGAGTTAATTAGATGGCATTCCAGACACATTTATTGATAATGTAAAGGTGGACACATGCTATTATGAAAGCGTTTAACACTTATTAGCAGTAACAAGACTGACTGGTTGTCATTTATATTTTTTTCTTGTTGAAGCAGTGCCTGTTTGAAAGCAACAGATTTGAGAGCAGTTTAAAGGAGGGTTGGTAGCTGGATGCATGCATGTGGCGCTGCTATGGTGTCTTCCTCTCCTAAGGTGCCTTCACCCAGGTGACCTTGGTCTCTAGGCAACCAAGCACAGCACTATTTGGCAATGAGAGGATTGCATTTGATTGCAGCAGGGGCTGGTGTGTTGTGGGAGGGCAGCCAGCATGGCCCCAGCCTCTATTACTCATCCTGGGGAGTCTAATGCTTGAGAAGTGGGATCTCTGGAGTCACAATTACAAAGCGCTGACTGCCTGATGCAATAGAGCAGTCAGCAGCAACAGTGTGTGAGACAAAAAAGAAAAAGGTATCAGACACATCTCATGCTGCAGAGAGAAATTCGAGCTTGGTTGGTTATTACATAGTCACTTTTAAATAGTACTGAATGTCAGAAATGTGCACAGTCCGTGTACATTTAGTGGTTAAAAACATGAATCATTACAAATGGTGATGGTTCCTTGTCTGATATGTAAAAAATATTTGAATATTCAAATTAGATGCAGCAGCTTCACAGAGTTATTTTGTGAATGTGAGTGAGAGGCCTACCGAAATCTTTTTTGGAGATAATTTTTTGGTAATTGCTTTTTATGTTTGTATGTTTTAATTGTTTTGTGTTTGTATACAATACTGTGCAAAAGCTTGCGGTCTGTAAAATTTTTTAATGCTTTTTAATTATTTTAATGTTTAATGTGCTTAAAATTTTTGAGGAAACTGTGATACTATTTTTTCATGATTCTTTGATAAATAGAAAGAAAAAAGAACAGCATTTATTTAAAATAGAAATCTTTTGTAAAAGTCTTTACTGTCAATATAATGTTATTACATATATATATATATATATATATATATATATATATATAT